ATATATATATAGATGTTCTATATATTTTGCTGCTATAAGAAAGTATTTATAGATGTTCTATAGATATATATGTAGAACATAGAGTATATATGTGCTATAGATGTTCTATAGATATATATATATAGATGTTCTAAGAAAGTATTTTCTCTCAAAGATATTATAAATCTGAAGAAAAATATTATAGATATTATAGAGTATATTAAGAGTTAGTTTAGAATGAAACTAAAGGTTATTTACCTATTTGTGGGACACAATTTATTAGGAGTGACCATTTGGTTGATTTGGAAGAATCAGTTTTCAAATTAGCCACATCGATTGCAATTGAAATTCAAAATTTGAAAATTCAAACCAAACAAAAATTTGATTAAATCGAATTGACGAGCCAAAGTATAAATCAATCAAAACTGTTTGATTACGAATAATCAAAATTAATTATTTGTTGAAGGTGGATAATGAACAAACATTATAAACTATATAATTTATGCATCTTATATTTGAGCATAGGGCGACGACGGGCGGCGATCAAGTAGTGGTAGCAAGGGGCAGCGGTGGGCAGTGATCGGCGACCAGAGTAAAGGATTGTTTGTGTTTAAGAAAGGGACAAAAACATGTTTTTCTGTTTCTAGTATTTTAAAAATAGACGTGCTCTTCCAAAAAAAATAAAAAATAGAATTAAAACAAAAAAAATAGATAATCAAACATTATTTTTATGTTCGTTTTCATATTTCCTGTTTAAAAAAACAAAAAATAAAAAATAAAAAATGAACCTAAACAACCCCTAAATAAAGTTAAAATTGATTTATTTAATTTAGATTTAGTGTTTATTAAATATTAATACTAAATTATATGAGTTTGTAAAAAACAATAAAGATTGAAAAGCAATTGTTTCAAAAAGATTTGAAGAAAAGGCATAGGAAGGGTGCAACAGAGAAGAAATAAGAAAAAAACAATAAAATGTAAATATTATTCGAAAAATATTTTGAAAATTTGAAGATAAAAAAGAAAGGTATTAATCATACAAATTTATGTTAGGTTTTGTGACACGAAAATAAGATTTCTAAAAAAACGAGATAAACAAATTAGATTGATGCGAATAATTATGTTTGTATATTAAAGTGTCTTAATTCTGATTATATTCTTCTTTTTTATTTTTTTTCTGGTTTATGATATATACGACTGAAATTTAAACTTCATAGTATGAGGCAAGAAGTGAGCATGTTAACAATTCTGCATTATGAACTTAGAATATAATAGATGTGCATGTCTTACTATTATCTAGCCTTTAGATTATAATATATGTGCATTTATTTATCAATAGATAAATATAAGGAGAAATAATGTGGTATGATGAATGAAAGAAATATATTATATATATACATATAATATTTATACCTGCATGTTAAAAGAAGGCCCCTAAATGTTTTCCTATCCCTCAAATACTTGCGAAATCTAAGCTATTAGTGATAGAAAATAAAAATAAAAAAAATTATAATTTCAACGTTCGATGGTTTGTCTTAGAAATTTCAAGCATTTGGGTCGGATCGTGACAAAAGTGATATCTAGGAGAAATAGGTTTTATTCATCAAAAAGAGCTGTTACGATAATTTGGATAGAACTATAAATAAAGTACAACAAATGTTTTAATGAGTTTAACTTGCTTTATTTTATTTTTTTCATAATTATGGAGAATCAGGAGGAAGAAGCCATGAATGATAATGTAGGAGATATGCCCCAAAATATCACAGTTGATACTAATGTATTTTCTGAAATAATGAATGGCGTGACACAATTAATTAAGAATTCTCAGTCTCAAGCCAGAGCAGTGGAGGAGCACAACTGAATAAATTTTTGAAACTCTTTCAGGATAAGAAACCACGTTTAACCACTTTTATTTTCTAGAGTTGATGGAGCAATGAAAATTAAAAAGTGGCTGATGACGGTAGAAAAATTTATAAATTGTATTATAAGTTCACCGGAGAGGAGAGTTCCCCTTGCTATATTTGTCTTTAAGGGAGAAGAAGAGAGTTGATAGCAAGATAGTTACAGGAGAATTTTGTTCCTAGACCTAACCAACTTGTGTAGTGGGAGGAGATTGTTACATATTTAGATTTAGAGATTGTTTGTACCATTGTCAACAAGAAGCCACATGCAGGATAAATTTATTAGCCTGGTCCAGGAAAATCGTTTGAGCATGCAGCATGAAGTTGAGTTTATATACTCTCGTGATATGCATCACAACTAATTTCAACTGTAGAAGAGAAATTCACAAGTCCTTTATGGATTGAAGAATTCAATCAAACGATCATTGCTATCACGTAGGATTGAAGACGATACAATACTAATGAAGAGGGCCAGCAAGTAGAAATTGATTTTCAACACTTAGAAGCGTAGGAACGTGCACAAGAGGAAGAGCTTGAAAGAAATAGCACCAATAACTTATTTTGGAGGATATATTGGGAAGAAAATAAGAGAAACATACACAATAAAGAATGCTTATTTGGATCTAAGATATGTAATTTATGCCAAAAACTGAGACATTATATGAGAAACTACCTTAATTTTGTTCAAAGTCCACACTAAATGCTAACTCAGGAAAGAATTCAACTCAAAGAAATTTTCAAGATGGCTCTACTTTTGAGAGTGGTGGAAGAAAAGGACGGAGGTTGATATAGAGGCTCATAAAGAATAACCAAGATAAAAGGATGTTAGGTGTTGCAACAAGAAAAAAGATTTCTAAAATAATGAGTTAAACAAGCAATATATAAAGTAATATTTCTTATTTGTGATGATATTTTGTTTTTTAACTTTTCACATTTATGCTCAAGATCATTGAAATTTAAACTATCAGAGATATCTTCATATAACAAAAAAATGTGCATGTTAATAATTTTATGTTAAAAGCTGCACAATGATTTTTCTGTAAATTATAGAATATTGAATGGCATTTAAATTATAATAAAGGTGCATATATCAAAGTATTATCTTAATTTTTAGATTCTAATAAATGAGAAGAGGTTCTATTTCAAGCACCCTTGTGTTGGATTAAAAAGGGTGGCACCTAGGCGCCAATTTTGGGACCCCCTGCACTTAGATATAGAGAGGACTGCATTAGGGCACCAATTTCAAGGTCTGGTGGAGCTCAGATTCTTGAATTCAACTCAAGCGAGGAAAAATGCAGTGCTTGGGAGCAGTGCTATGGTGCTAGGAGCAGTTTGTATGTTACGAGGGAGTTTACCCTTGTTTCACGAAGTATTAATACACTCTCTCTCTCTCTCTCTCTCTCTCTCTCTCTCTCTCTCTCTCTCTCTCTCTCTCTCTCTCTCTCTCTCTCTCTCTCTCTCTCTCTCTCTCTCTCTCTCTCTCTCTCTCTCTCTCTCTCTCTCTCTCTCTCTCTCTCTCTCTCTCTCTCTCTCTCCAACGGTGCATAATAGGTGCAAAGCATCATCTGTGCCGAGAATGTGGACTTCGATGAGTGCTTTTTTTCGTGAGATCAAGAGAGGAAGGAGTGTGAGTTGCTATAAGTTCTAGTGGTATAAAGAGTGGTTCTGAATGGAGTAAATTTTTTATTATTCTCCTTTCATGGAGAAATTTTTGAAATGGTGCAGGTGCATGACTGTTTTTCCAGTTCTCAGAATTTTTTACCTTAATGCTTTCATTTTTCATGTATTTTTGGTTTAAAATTAACAATCAATGATATAAAAGAACGCATGGACAACTCGGCTCCTATAAGAGGCAATTCTTGGAATAAACTAAAATTCAATGGTTGTTTATATAATGAACTCATGCTCGGGTTTGTTTTCAATGTATTTAGAAGTTGGCCAACTTTTAAGGGTAAGTTTCATTGACAAAAACTACATTTATAAGAAAGGAAAAATAACTTTCAATTTAAGAAAAGAAAAATTAAAGAAAAACATTAGGTATATCTTTGCACTCACTAAGAAATATTCATAGAGCTTGAGAGAGAAAGTTGGTAAAATCATATATGTTTGTCAACACCATCATAGTCTTCAAATATCGTAGAGCTCATGTGATTAATCTGCAATTAAGCTTCATGATGACAGCTATTACTTTCTATTCAAGATTAGTAATACGATTCATGTAGTTATTTACGTTTAAATGCACTCAGTACCAATAGTTGTTGGTTATCAGAGGAGTGAGACTAAAATATACCCTAGGTTTAAAAAAAATAGAAGCATGGTAAGAAACTTGATCTTTATCTATCCCCTAGTTCGAATGGGGGAGGAATATCCACCAAGGACTTTCTCAAAGTATGTTCAAATCCAGGAGAACACAAATAGCAAGGAAATTCAATATAAAATAAAGAAGCAAAAAATACTGACCTGTCTAAAAGAGGCCCAAGTCAATAATGCAGCAAGCCATAATGATAGTCACATGCAAAACTGTGGATGACCTGAGAGTGAAACCTAAATCATATATTTTCATGTTCTCGATTTCCTTCAGGTAAATATTTGGTAGATATCATACAATACCTTCATGTGAGTAACAAAGAGAGTTATTGAAGGGTATAGAAGAGAAGGTGAGAGAGCTCCGATCATTTCCTCTCCCTCTAATCTTTCTACGTTTCACTTGTAACTCAAATAAGTTTTACCTCAACATTACTTCCTCGAGATGATATGTTAACTGTTCAGGAGCCAAATGTACACCGAGCTCACAAGGAAATATATCAGGATACGAATAATAAGGAACAGTGGCATCTAAAAAACTTTACCGACAAGGCGACGAGCAATATTCAATTAAACACAACGAGGCAATCGCTGCAACTCTAGGCTTAAATATAAGGCAGCGTCTGAAATCATAGAAATGCGTGAGTTCTTAAGATCTGAAAGCCGAACTTCTATCCGCATCACGTCTGGCATAGAGATTGAGAGTATCATCGCCTGTGATAAATATTGCTTACAGGCAAAAGCAACAGCATATAACAGCCGCACCAACTTCAACATAGAATCTACCTCATCCAACCTTTCCAAAAGTCTGCTAATTTTAGGAAGATTCGTCAATAGACCCGTCGTAGCTTCTCTTGATGCTGCTTTGAGCAGAAAAATCACACATTCAGAAGCCAAATCTGAAATTTGTGCATCGGAGTTGCTAATCAGTTCTAAAAATGCACTAATGTGACCACTGAAATCAGATATATCCGCGATGCAATATTGTTGATCAGCATCAAGGGTTGTGTTAAAGGCAAATTGGGTTAGGAGAGCTGGTTCCTTGCTTATAATTAATCCATTCTTGGTTCCTATGCTACGCAGAAGGAATGCCTTGCAGAGAGCAAGTGTTGGTTCCAGGAAATCTTCCATGCCATTTGCGTTCACAAACTCGAGAAGGTTTCCAATCCTTCTAACAACTTGTACATGAGATAATATCCTGGTATCCATCTCAGGAGCAGAAGCCAACGCAAGGCAGAGCTTCACATTATTCACATTTGCAAGAGACAGATCACTAAGTAAAAACTCAAAGCACTGTGAAACTGTTTCAAGATGCAAAATATCAGAAATCTTGATGTACTTAAACTCTATTAGCATCACCAGAAGCTTCTGAGCATACATTGGAATGGGATCTTCATCCTCAATAAAATTGGGATAAAGAGGAAGAAAATGTTCGTGTGATATCACATTCAAGGCCTTCAGAACCTGCTCATCATCATTTTTCAAAACATCTGAGGTGTCACTTAGAATCACCATCATCACATCAAACAATATTTTCAGACACAGAAATCTAGCATCTCCATCTTTGTTACCCTTGTATAAAGTGGCAAGACCAGGAAGAATTCGACCAGTGAAAATTTGGGGATTATTAAGAATTACAGATGGTTCCTCTGTAACTGCTTCAAGTATCTGCAGCAAAGTTATCTGGAAATCATCTCGTCCCTGCATTTCACTCAAGAACAAGTACAAACTTTACGTCAACTTTTAAGTTCTTCAAATTCTAGCTCAACAGGAGCTTCGAATATAGTTAAAGATGAGGCTTATGTTACTGTGACAGCTAGACTCAGTAACAACCACTATACATCGATGAATAATGAGCTAGCAAGAAAAAATAAGAAGATTTACATACATATCGCTCAATTCTTAAGTATTTACATATCTAACACCCAAACTTCAATTTTTTACATACATGACATATTCCCTATGAATGAAAAGGTGAATTTCAATTTTAAAAGTTAAGATGGTGATATTTTTTATGTGACATGGAACATTTGGGTGGTATAAATGTACAAATTAAAGTTTAGATGTTAGATATGTAAATACATGAGAATTGGGTGGCATGCATGTCAATGTCCAAAAAAAAGACACTAATAGCCTAGCACACGGTTTACCTGGAAAGGAGATTCTAAAAGCTTTCCGATATTTGCCAGCTGGAACAAAACATGGTTGCTTACTACTCTATGCTTGAAAGATAAGCTTCCAAGAAGATTTAGAACAGACGGAAACAGATCAGATGTATTTTTTGTGTTGTTTCTTGCAGTTACAGAAGCCACAAAACCATGTCGTTTGCCTCCCATAATCTGCTGTATATCTACAGAAACAGCTTCAAGTATCTCAGGCACTGTAGAAGAAACTATCTGTACAAAGGTCTCCATGCACGGCTGAAGGAAACTGTCCTTCTCCTTCACCAACCGGTCGACCGTAGATAGCAGTCTAGCATTGCAAAGAAATCTAGAGATCCACCTACGACTATTTTTGCAGAGAAGAGCAACAAAAATAAGTGCTTTTCCACGTAAAACCTCATTTCCCTGTTCAATAAGTGATATTAGTCCTGGAACCAACTCCTCCATCAATGATGAAAGATGCCGCAACATGCCAGATAACAAATGGTTATTAAGAAAGGCCATGTTAAGGAGATTTAAGCAAATTTGTTTTTCACGAGGGTGACTGCTCTTAAGGACAGAAGAAGCTGTATCTTTGATTGAAAGCTTCTCAAAGATCAATTGTATGGTCAACGGGCTGAAATGAGCCAGGCGGACTAAACAAGAACCAGCAATAAGCTTTGTACTCTCCTGCTTGCCTGTGGCTTTATATATGTAACAGAGATTCCCAATAACATCATGGCTACCAAAACGAGCTGTCCATTCTTCCCCTTGACTGCAGATGTTGTCAATTGTTTTTAGCACATACAACTGAACTACATCATCTTCACCCTTGCGCAAAATTGATGATACCAAACCAATTAGCGAATTGGACACCTGTTTAGGAATATTCGATTAAAATTACGGAAAATGAGCCTCGCTAAATCAAACAGTAGCGCAAATTTAGAATTTTTATTTTTGAGAAACCATTACTTAAAATTGTATGTTATTTTTAAGAATATATCATCCTTTTGGATTAAACTAATTGTACAGACAAATCTTGATTTAATTTTACTTGGAAAAATGTTAAAGCTCTAAATGAAACTATATATTTATAAATTTGAAAATTTAATAGAAATTTTAAATAATAATAGTCAAGTTATAATTTTATATTAAGAAGTAAATTAAATATTAAATAACAATAATTAAATAATAGACAAATTAACCATATTAATTAAAAATTACATAACTGAAAAAGAATATTGATATTGATATATTTCACTTGATAAAATTTAGGTAGTATTCCTACGACGAATATAAATGATATAAGATAAGATGAGATAAAATATTATACCAAACAATATGTTATAAATATTTTTGAATGACCATAATTGAATAACAAATTATTAATTATTTTTATGCTGATTCATTATACATGACTACCATGTATATTATTTATTTTCAGTTAAATTACTAAGTATAAAAGTACTGTTATTCACCAGTGTATATTCAAATATCGAGTCACGGACTCAGAACCTTCTTAAAGAATTGAACTGTCGATCACTAGAATAAATCAAACCTCGACATTCAACATTATTATTATTATTATTTCCAAATAGATCTGCTCACCGAAAAGACCACATTCTCTCTACTCCTGAAGAGGGAGATCCATTCCGCAATTGAATCCGGAAACAACAATCAGATTCAACTAGAAGGGATATATCCTACTCTCGGCATTCAACATGTTGTAAGACGTTTAAGTCCTAAAACAAAAAATAAAAAACACACAATCCAGTCATCGACACTTATGTCGAATACTATTCTCCAAATACAAACTTATTAGTAAGACATCAAATGGCTAATGTTGGCTTACTATTTAGTCTCTCATGCAGGGAATGGTTGGGGTTGGTTTCCATTTATAGCCCTGGCGGAACGGAATTTGTGGAGGCATCTCATAATTGTTTCCCCAATCCTGATATAGAATATGTCTAAAAAGACTCGCACTCTGGGCATTTTCCAGTGTTTGGATATGACCATACGGATCGAACATTCATTCTTAAAATGACTAGACACTCCTGACTTTTCGGGTAAATTGTATTATAATAAAGTATTGTTCTTGTTTGTTTATAAAGGTCATATCAAGCACTGCCTTGGGACAGATGTATAAAGGTCAATTCCCTAAGTAAATGTCTAGTCCTAGGGAACAGACTCCCCCCTCCGTGCAAAAGACACAGTGAGTAGAGAGTGAGTCAACCCTAGAGCAAGTCTCGTTGGGTTCCAAATGAGTACAGCAACGAGATCCGCTGAGCAACCCACATGAAAGGCCTGATCCACCCAAGGCGACGACTTACCTTGAGAATGTAAAGGCTAACCCCATAAATTGGCAAGACTTGGGTCAAAGGATTTATAAAGAATCGTATCCAAATATTTGCACATAAGTCCTGCTTTAGTAGGTTGGCCCTCTCCTCTATTAAACAAGAACTTAGGGAGTGAAAGTTGTCACTAGAGCGAGTCTCAGTAGGTTTCCCATGAGGATAGGGACAAGATCTACTTAATACGCCTCATAAAGACCGGACCCACTAGAAGGCGATGACCTAATGTGAAAATGCAAGACTAAAACATGAGTCGAGAAAACAAATCAACAACTAGTTAAAAATTAACTATGGCAGCAAAAATGTCTATTTATAAATTAGAAGTTAAAACTCGATATGATGTAAAAGTCAGCATTGAACTTCCAAACAATAACACAATATATACATTTCTAATCGTCGGAAGATCCCTCATCGTTATTCCCGAATCTTTGCAATTTATACAAAACATCAATAGAAGAGAAAACATAAACAAAGAGAGGAAAATACTTTCTTCATACATTGATGCTTTACAAGGTACATCTACTTATAGGAATGCCACCTCCTACATAAGGAAATTACCTAATTGTTTATATTTTAAATAAAGAAATTACCTAATTGCTTATATCTTAAATAAAGAAATTACCTAATTGCTTACAACTATTTTCTATTATATTACATAGCTAATTATGGAAGAATTGTACAACTAGAAAAAATTTATAAAAGGAGAAAACATTAATGTTGTAAATCAAATTTGATTTTCAACACTCCCCCTCAAGTTGGCATGAAAATATTCTTTAGAGCCAACTTGCACACTAAACTGTCAAACTATCTCTTGTTAAAACCTTTCGCTAGAATATTTGTTGTTTAGGGAAGGAACATACACTATGCAGATATTTCATTTGTCAATTTTTTTCTTTGATGAAGTGTTTGTTTATCTCTATGTGCTTTGTTCGATCATGAAGGACAAGATTGTTGGTGATGGCGATTGCATACTTATTATCACAATACATCTTCATTGGTGGTGGACTATGAATTTTTAATTTTTAACTCCTTTATGAATTTTTAACTCCTTAAGAATTCTTCTAATCCATAAAACTTCACATATCCCATGAGCCATAAATCTAAATTCAGTTTCAGCACTGTTTCTTCCCACGACACCTTGCTTCTTACTCCTCTAAGTTACTAAGTTTCCTCCTAGAAACGTACAGTACCCTGAGATTGATCTTCAATCTGTAATACTCTCAACTCAATCTGCGTCTGTAAATGCTTATATCTGTAAGTGCTCATTTTTTTGAACAGTAATCCTCTTTCAAGCGTTCCTTTCAGATATCCAATACACAGCCTTCAAGTGATGAGTGTTTGGAGAGTGCATAAACTGACTTAACATACTAACAGCGAAAGCTATATCAGGACGAGTGTGTGAAAGGTAGATTAGTCTTCCCACCAGTCTCTGATATTATCATTTATTAACACCATCTATTTCATTTGTCACTTGTAACTTTTTATTTGATTCAATCGAAGTTTCAGCTGCTTTGCACCCAAGCATTTTGGTTTCACTGAGCAAGTCGAGTACATACTTCTGTTGATTAATAAAAACCCCCTCTTTTGATCTGACAAATTCAATATCGAGAAAGTACTTTGCTGGCCCCAAATTTTTAATCTCAAATTTTGTGGCCAATCTTTTTTTTAATGTCTCAGTTTCCCTAACATCATCTCCTAAAAGGATAATATCATCGACATAGACAATAAGTATAGCAAGTTTACCAGTTTCTAAATGTTAGTAGAACATAACATGATCAGCTTAACTCTGAGTATATCTATACTTTTTAATCACCTTTCCAAACTTCTCAAACCAGGCGTGAGGAGATTGTTTGAGCCCATACAAGGATTGATTCAATCTGCACACCTTGTCTTCTCCAAACTTCTTCTCAAATCCAGCATGAATCCATGAATACCTCCTCTAATTCACCGTTTAGAATGGCTTTTTTAACGTCAAGCTGATGTAAGAACCAATCATGGTTTGTTGCTATGGACAATAGAACACGAATAAAATTTATCTTGGCTATCAGAGCAAATGTCTCATGATAGTTAATTTCTTAAGTTTGAGTGAATCATTTCGCTATTAGTCGTGCTTTATAGCTTTCGACACTCCCATCGGCTTTGACTTTAACAGTGAAGATCCATTTACACCTAACAGTAGACTTATCTTTTGACAAAGTAACTTCTCAGGTTCCATTTTTCAACAGAGCATCCATCTCTTCCTTTACTGTTATTCTCCAATTCGGATTTACTAAGTGCTTCCTGTATAATTTTGGGTTCAGACATATTAAAAATTTTTGACAAAAAAACTTGATGTTTGTGTGAGATTATTTTGTAGCATAGATATTTTGTAATGGAATGTTTCGTAGTACAAGAACGTGTTACTTTTCTAAAGGCTATAGGAAGATTCAGATTCATAACCTCTGAATTTTGAGCTTTTGTTAATGAGAAAATAAGGTCGGGATTGAAAATTATCTTTGTTTCTTGAGGACCAACATTTGGTTTTTAAGATTGGGAGGGAACTAAATATTCAATTTGAACCCTTTTTCCTTTTATAGAGTCTTTTCCTGGACTAAACCAGAAGTTTTGTTGTCTTATTTTGCAGTATTTCTCCCCCTGCGTTAAACAAAATAATTTCTGGTGCCTTTTTACTAGGATTTTCTTGATTTTTTTTTACTTTCAACAACTATTTATGATTCATTTTTATTAAGGACTTCAGGTGTATTTGATGTTAGAACAATTACTGGTAGTGGATCAGAAATGTGTCAAAGATCATCTTCTCCTTCTATATTATACTCCCCCTGAAGTGGAATTTTGTAAAAGAAATGAAATTTTTCCACGAAGATCACATCCATACTAAAATAAGTTTTTTTTTTGTGACAGGGTTTAAATATTTGTAACCCCTTTTGTTTGAAGCATATTCAAGAAAAATGCATTTTTCAAATTTTGGATCCAATTTTGATCAAAATTTATTTGGAATATGAACAAAACATGTGCATCTAGAGATTTTTAAACGAATATTTGAAGGCATTCGTAGAATTGAAAAACTGTTTGTCAACTTGTTTAGAGGAGTTGTATACTATAAAACTCGAGTGGGCATTCGATTTATTAAAGATGATGTTGTTAAAACGGTGTCCCCCCCATAAATATTTAGGAACGTTCATTGAAAACATAATAATCCGAGCAACATCTAATAAATGTTTATTTTTTTCTTTCAGCAATTCCAATTTGTTGTGGAGTGTCATGACATGTGGATTGATGAATTATGTTTTTGTTTATTAAAAACTCTCCTAAATATTAATTAAAGTATGCAGTTTCATTTTCTGTTCTAAGGATGCATATTTTTGTTTCAAATTGAGTTTCAATCATGCTGTAAAAATCTTGAAAGAGTTTTTCAACTTTTGATTTCTTATTTATAAGATAAACCCAACATATTCTGGTGTGATCATTAATAAAAGTCTTAAAACCTTTTTTTTCAAATAATGTTTCGATTTTTGAAGGCCCCCA